ATGATTTATGGGTTCGTGTGACCTTGTGGGGCCACGGCTTAGAATGAAGCATCTGCCTCTGATTTGGGAGAAAGCACAAGACTTTGGAAAAGCCGTTTCTGGAAATAGCTTGCCTCAAGAGCGTCATGCCCAAGCACGGAAAACAAACATGTTGTGACACACATATGCCTCATTTGTGGGGGCAACTGAGGTTTCAATCACGACACAGTCTGGGAAATCCTTGAAACCGGAGCGTCCGGATTTGACAAACTTCCGGGATGGGTGCGGGCACGTCCATGGCCCGTGAAGAAACAACCATAAACAAATCAAAGCAACTGTTTCTTGGAAGGGAAAAGCATGCGAAACAACCAGGCAGCCTGACATCCAACTAGACAAATAACACACAGGCGTGCTCTTGGATGCAGCACCTTAGGTGCCCACCGAAGCTTGGATATCTCACTCTTCAACTCGAAACCTGATCCCACCACACTCCGTAAACGCGCGCGCGCCGATTTTTTTGTTTCGATGTTTTTGCGCTGCCAAGCGCCTGGCTCAGGACACCCTGCACCGTTCTCAGCTTTGCGACTAGTCTAGGTGCCACAAGTCGGAAGTAGCCACCAGCTGGCGTAACCGGCTCCCATAACTGCGCCCTGGTCACTGCGAAACGCATGGCTGATTTTGGGCCTGAACCTGTTCCTGGCAGCTCCCCACTGCTTAAAGACTCGTGGGCCACGTTGGCCCGACTATCAATGTGTAGATCTGCCCCTTGGAGCTGCAAATTGTATTCGCCCAACAAGCGCGCTGCAAACTTGCGAGCTGTCGTGCCGAAATTCCACCTGGCAACCAAGCAAAGCACAGGCTGTGTGGATCAGTAAAAGCTCAACGCTGCTAGCTTCATTACTCCGCGCGGTCGCACCGTTGAAGTCACAAGTTCGAGAGTGCTGACGGGCCGCACGGGCTGTGCAGATCAGCAGCAGGCCAACTTCACTGGCGGCCAGTCACGGGCTCCCCGGAAGCACTCCTGGCGCCGGGCAAGCAATGCCTTCATCCGCAAGGCAGATCTCGCGTGAGGTGGGGCTGATCAGAAAGCCGAGCAAACAAGTAAGTGAACATGAGGCGAGCAAGCAAGTCAAGATGTGGCACTACTTTGTCGCGGTAGCTACGCTACAGAGGTTCTTTGCGCGGCGAACCTCCTGGCTAGAGGGGTGCGAATTGGCAAGCAAACCTGCTTATTGGTTTTGCCTTCGGACAAGGGAATGTACTACTTTTCCTTTCGCCAGCGGAATGCATTGGCTGAGCGGCACTCGGCCAGTGTGAAAGCTGTTGGCGACTCGCGCCTTTGAACCCGAGACGAAACACCTGAAGCTGCCCGCGCAGCAAAAGAAAGGCAACCTGACGCAGAGTATTTTGCAGCATGCGCATGCACAGCACTTCTTTTCCGACGTTGCTGCATGCACCCTGCTCCTGTGCAGCACTTGGCAAGCGACATTGCTGAACGCACCTCCCGGGTCACTGCGAAAGAAGTATCGGGATAGAGGCTCTTGGTCGGGCTTTGCTATACATGGGGCCTCAGGAGTTGATTCAAGCAAATGCCCGCACCGCACGTAATAAACCTGCCCCCTCCCGTTAACTGCAAGCAACCAATTGCCCTGAAGCTTTGGACATGCGTCCGTGCGCAAAGAGTGACGTGCGCTAGCTTGCTTGCCTGGCTCCTTGGTCAAACCCAGCTCTGCGGACGCAAAGCGCTCACATAGACGCTTGCGTTGTGTAAAAGCAAAGCCACTGGGGTACCCAGGCAGCCAGTTTGCTACTCAACCTCTGCGAAGCACGAGCCTCTCCCACAAACTTCTGCGCAACCGGCACGCCTCCCAAATTTCTGCAAACCCGAGTGACATTTTCGTCCTGGGCAAGACCTCTGCGGAAGGGTCTTTGCAGGATCTGTGGATCGAATCTGTTGGTAAGATCTCTTGGCAAGATCTGCCTGCAGGATCTCCGAGAAAATCCTCTACAAGTTCTCTCTTCAGGATCTGTAGCGCAAGAGCTGTCGCCATGACATTATCGCAGGTCGTGCTGCCAGTATGTCTATGAAGCACCAGAGCAACATAGCCGCGGGAGGATCTTTGTACGACCTCTGAACAAGATCTCTGGGAAGGATCTCTTTGTAATACCCTCTACAAGCGTTCTGTTAACTATCTGTGAAGAACAAGACCTGCGCAAAGACCTCTTGAGAGGATCCCTATGAATCACTAGCGCAAAATATCGTTGGGAAGATGCTTACGGGAATTCTGCACGCGACATGTCTTGATAGGATCTTTCGGGAAGATCTGTGCGCAGGATCTCTGAATAGGATCGTTTGATATCAGCGGCCAGGTACGTAGTTCATAGACCAGGATCCAACACGGGGTGCATCAAAGGTCCTGAGACAGGTCCTGTCTGGTTGAGTAAAACACCACCTTGTGGCTGCCAGCTTTGCTAGCGAGTTCCTTATTTTCCCCAAGCAGTGTGTCTGCATAAAGGGGTGCTTACGGTAAGAGTAAAAGGCTGGGGTCGATCAGGGTGATCGCTGTGGGCGCCGCGTTTCGTCTGCCCAGGCTCGCGCAACAGTTCCTTGTGAGATGTTCATGTCCGTTTCGACGCAGGCTGCCACAACCGAGTTCCGGGAATTAACCGGCGCACCCTCTGCAGACTTTGGGCGTGTTGGAGTGCTCTTGCTGGTGCGCATCTTGAATGTCGGAAGTAAGCCCCCTGCGGTCTTCGGTGGGTCGGACTGTTTTCGTTGTGGTGCGGTGCGAGTATTGAAAGCAAACCATACGCGAACTTTAGGTGGCTCGGATCGCTCTCGCTCCGGCGTGGTGCAAATTACAACTGTCGAAGTACAGGACCTGATAAGATTCTATTTGCAAGAGATTTTGTAAAGGGTGCTTTCTACTTTGATTCTTGAAGGATCCTCTCATGGATCCTGCACACAGATCTGCCTTGTGTGGGTGCCGCTGTTTAGGGCAAAGAAACAATGTCATGCCACAAGCATGGACAAACAAACAATTGTGGAGCTCATGTCCCCTCTCAACATAGCCTCAATGCGCAGCCTGGGGACCGTGAAGCCGGAACGTCCGGATTTGACAAGCTTCGTTGATGGCGCACAGAATCCCCCATTAATAATAAATGCAAACCGGGGCCCGAGACCAGATTTCCACTCCGTACAATTGATTTTCAATTGCCCCAATACTAAACCAATACTAAAGTCTTGGAATCCTTATTAGGGGGCACTTGCTGGCCAATCAACCTGCCTGGCTGCAAACAAACAACCAGTAAACTGAAAAACAAATAGAACGATACATCAAATTTCCTTATTAAACCGCTTACTCGCGGAGCTTGCAATTCAATCCATTTCCTCCAAATCCTATGTGAACCCTCACGTGGTCGGAAAAGCAAAAAAAAACAACCCCAAAAACCACAATTGAAAAAGTATTTTTGGGGGGATTTATTTATAATAGGGGGGGGGCCGTACTCATTAATAGGGGGAAGAGATTAGAGAAACAAGCATAAACAAACCAAAGCAAACAATGCTTGGATGGATCCAAAGAGGGAAGCAAACGTTTAAACGGCAAATGGCAAACCAAGCAGCCTGCCATCCACCTTTGTTGCCCACTGCCTGGAGCTTCAACATCCCACTCTTCCGCTCGAAGCCTGATGACCACGCTCCACAGACTAGAGCTTTGTTGTGTTTTACGACGATCTTTTCCGCTGCTTGCTGAGACCGTCTGGCTTGTTCCAAGCTTTGCTTGCAACTACTCTACGGGGGCAGCGCCAAAAGTCGGACAAAGGTGAAGCCACTGAGAGCTGCCGCGCCATCAAACTCGCCGTCAGAGGCAAGGGCAGCCTGCACGATCCTTGCGCATGGCTGATGTTGGGCGTGGTGGCGGGCTGTTGCTGGCTGCTTCAAGCTGTACACGCTCATTGGCCGCTCTGTCCCGCCAAATGCCAGTGTGCAGACTTGGTGCTTGGAGCTGCAAATTGCTTTCGCCCAGTAAACATGCGACCTGTCGGTGATTCCTATTCCCCAAAAGTGTCCGACTCGTTTTCATAGGCTGCCAATCTTGAAGTGTTCATTGGGCCTTGACTAGCGATCCCACACAACGAGATCTCTTTTTCGGTTTCAAGGCAAGGTAAGAACCATGAAAAGAATGGCCTGCTTACAGGCAGTCCACACCCAGGGGCCATGGCACTGAGAAAGAGCCGGCAAATTCAGATACGGGTGCTTCTGCCAAGCAATCTCGCCTTCTCAGGAATTTGTCAATGGGGAGGGAATCCGGTGGTATACCTGACGGTCTATTGAACCCTGAACACGGAATGTGAACCACATGGCGCAGAAATGACCGGCGTGTGTCTTTCAACCAGGCAACGCGCAGGCTGTGTGGATCAGCATACGCTCAACGCAGCTAACTTCATTAGTCCAAGCTGTCGCGCAGCCTCAGTCACAAGTTCAAGAGTCCTTGCAAGCGCACCCATCGGAAAGCAATCCTGCTTGTTCCGTCGCAAAGCGTTGGCTGAGCCGCATAAGATGCGGCTGATCACAGAGCATGTCGCCGCACGGGCATATGCAGCACTTGTCAAGCGACTCCCCAGCTTTGCCTGTAACTAGGCTAGGAAGGCAGCGCCTGCACGATTCTTTTGCATGGCTGGTGTTGGGATCATTGGCCACTCTGGCCCGCCAACAATTAATGTGTGGATTTGCGCCTTGGATGCAAATTGCTTTCGTCCAGTAAAGCGCCGCAGCCATGCAAGCTGTCGTCGGTGTGCTGAAAGTCAACCAGGCAACCAGGCAAAACACAGGCTGTGTGGATCAGCAGGAAGCTCAACGCAGCTAAATTCATCACTCCGCGCTGCAGCCACAAGTCCGAGAGTAGGGCCGTCGAAGCAATCCTTGCAAGAGCACCCATCGGAAAGTACTCCTGCCTGTTCCATCTCCCGTCGCAACGCGTTGGCTGAGCCGCCTAAGATGCGGCTGATCACACGGTATGTCACAGTGTGTGCATGTGCGCCAGTTGCCAAGCGACAATGCTAAGTGCTCCGTGCTGCACATCCGCACGGATGTGCAGCACTTGGCAAGCGACATTGCTGAGTGCACCGTGCGTCTGTGCAGCACCTGGCAATCGGCAGTGCTGATTGCACCGTGCGCCTGTGCAGCACTTGACAAGCGACATTGCTGAATGTGCCTGTGCAGCACTTGGCAAGCGCAATTGCTGCGTGCACCGTACGCCGGTCCAGCACTTGGAAAGCGACATTGCTGAATGTATCGCGTGCGCCTGCGCAGCACCTGGCAAGCGATATTGCTGAATGCACCGTGCACCTGTGCAGCACTTGGCAAGCGGCATTGCTGAACGCACCGTGCGCCTGGCAGTGCACTGTGCAGCACTTGGCAAGCCATACTGCTGAATGCACCGTGTGCCTGCACAGCCCTTTGTAAGCGACATTGCTGAACACACCGTGCTGCGCAACACTTGGCGAGCAAAATTGCTGCACGTACCGTACGCCTGTGCAGCACTTGGCAAGCGACATGGCTGAACGCACCTCCCAGGGCACTACGAAAGAAATATCGGAATAGAGGCTCTTGGCACAACTTCTGCAAGCCCCACACAGCACCCTCTGTGAGTGAAAACTCCGTGATCCCCCGCACCCTTCTCACATACGGTCGCGAAGTCGAGGATCCTGGCCCCTTCGGCAATTCTTTCTGCGAGCTGCAGGCCCCACCCGCTTGACACCTGCAATGTGAAATTTATTAAAACTTGCGCGCGCTGTGCGCCTTGTGGGCCTAAACATGGAGGTTGAAAGAGAGCTTGCAAGGGGCCTTCCCAGTTTCTGACACAAGTGCTTGCCACAAGTGTTTGTACGAGCTACAGCTCTTTCTTCACAGCAAGCTCAAGGGCTCGCATTTTCAGGTCAGATTGTCTGAGCTCAACAGAAGAGCTTGCGTTTGCCATGTGCTTGGATTCTCCCGGGCACTGCATCTCGAACCTGGCCGAGTCGGCGCGATCACGATCGTCATGGTTCTCCACAAACAGCCTGGGAGCTTGTCCTCCAGCCTTGTCTAGCAAGCGCCTGGAAGCAAACGGCAGCGCAGCCTTCCGCTAACCTTTTCCCCACGACTAGCTTTGCTTTCCCCGGTTCTGAATTCTGAATTGAAGTGCTTCAACAAGCTGAATGACGCTGCGCCGCAAGTTGCAGCAGTCTGGCATACTGAAATCTGTAGAGGTTGCTGGGGCCAAGCCTGGCACGTGAGATGCTAGGCCGAAGAAGCTCGAAACCTTAGAGCCTCCAAATCAGCACGCTCCTTCGCGAAACAATCGTATGTTGGCGGATGTGGGGCAACACCTGTCCGGGCCGCGCTTCATACCTGGATCTGTAGGTGCTGTGCAAGCGGGCGTCGCGAGTCACACAATGTCGCGATAAGTCACCCCGCCACCCCCAGCCGCTTGGAACTACGCAAATCCGTTTAAGTCACCCGATACGTTTTAAGTCACCCCAATTGCAAAACACAACGGGCGCAGAAATGGAAGGGCGACGTTGCCAAACCCAGGGCTGTGAGGTTCGCGCTGGCACGCCGCGCGCGGCAGAACTTCAAGCGCCCACGAGGTCCCAGATTCATAACATGAACACTTGGTCAGCTTCCACGTGCCGTGTGCTTGCGTGTATGGTCGCTGCTACTGGGTGGTTCTCTCTTCTCGTGCAGCAGCACCTTTCGTGGCTTCGACTGGCTTGTCAGGATACCCCGAGTAGAACATCATACACGTTGCATTGCACGTTGCATGCGCGCACCGTGGCGGAAATATACAATTTCAGAAAACGACATGCTTGAGACAACTATCCTCACATCCACAAACACGACAGGCACACTCACCCGAGACGACTTAGATCAACCCGGGACAACATACAGCACGTATCCGGTATTGTCGCCTTTTCAGCACAAACTGCCTGTTGGTGCTTGCAGCGCCTTTGCTTCCCTCTGGGCAAAAGCTGCTCTTTCTGCTTTCTGGAAGAAACCCGTAAAATTGAAAAGGCGACTTTCCCCGACCAAAAGTCGACTTTTCCCGACCGGCTTTGCGGACATGCTTGCAATAATTGCGCTTTTGCATCGAAACGGCATTTCCTAAACGAATCGCCTCGAATATGTGCTGTTTGAGCAAAAGGCAGAAATTAACATACATGGAGGATGCAGGTATGACAACAAGGCGGGGCTCGATTTCTACTAGATGCCAGCATTGATATGCGTTGATGCTTCAAGGACTGCAAACACATCAGTTCTTTGCTGTGCGTCGGCGCATGCGTTGGGACGGTTGTAAAAGTCTCGCAAGTCCTGTGGAGGCGGCGCGGCTCACGTCAAAGCAGCCTGTCCGGCAAAAACCTGTGCGTTGCATGATGCAGGGGCAAGGTGCCCAGCGCCCTGCGCCCAATGCCCCAAAAGGCAACCGACTTTCGGCGCAAGTGCGCAATCATGCTGCGAAAGCCGAGGCTGACATGGAGATTGAGCTCGGTCTGTGAGTGAAGCATGGGCTTGCAGTTCGATGTCACGGCGCCGTTCTGCCAGCCACTCTGCGTTTGGCTTGTCGAGTGTGGGATGAAAGAACGGCGCCCTGAGCCAATGTGCGTTGCACCCTGAGGACATTTGCTTGAGATTCGTTGGCCGGCGTGGGCCGGCTAGCTGCTCCGATCAAACCCAGCAAGCAAAAGCCGTGTCTCCTGGTGTCAAGGCAAAACTTGTGGGTGTCAGCCATGGCCGGCCCTGGCCATGCTTGCGTCAATGTCGGACGCAATTCACGCATGGTATGTCACAAGGTGGCGCGCAAAGGCTGCATCGACGTGCTGCGAGCCGGAGGCCAGTCAGCAAGGGGAAAGCCTTCCATGAGAGGTGAAGCCAGCGTGCGCAGGCCTGCGCAAGCAGACCCTTGAGACGCTTCTGAGCAAGTGTATCGGGCCTTGCTGCTGTCGCGCGCAGGTGGCAGTGTCGCGTCGACGCTGCCCGCGCGAGGAGCTCTCGCTTTCTCGGATGTGAGGCTTCGGACTGTTCTCCTCGACCGCGCGCCTCCTGGCCCGAGCAACGGGATTTAGCGATTGGTAGTAGCACCAACTTCCTGAGCTGGGCAGGGTCTATGTCTACATGCTGAGCAGTATGACGTTGATCACCAAGCAGCTGCTGCGCCTTTCAAGTGTCGAATCTTCCGTCAGGTGGCGGGCAGCCAGCATAAGAGTGTCGAACGCAATCTTCTGCTAGAGCTTTTGTGCGTGGAGAGCTTCCTTCCCTTAAGTTGGGGGCCAATGTTTATCTGAGGGCATAAATGGGACAAAAGCGCAAGATGTGTGCACAAACACGGGCATGCCCTACGAGCGAACTGTCCGAGCCGGGATTCTTGAAGCTCCAAGATTTCAGAATATTGCAAAAGACAAAATCCGGGCGGGCGGGCCCGGCGGGCTCACATGTTCCGGGGTGCGTGGGAGTGCAGCCCCCGCTTTGTCAGGAACGGGTTGTGCATACGTCAGCCCTCCGCGAATATGCCCACCAACTGTCTAATTTCAAAGTTCCATCTTGCACGGCCTGTCATGAGTGCCTTGCTAGAATGGTGTCTTTGTTTGCCCTGCTTTACGGAGCGATCGGGAAAGAACGCTCTAGAAGCAAGTTTTTTCCATGAGGTATCAAGTTGAGATGTCACAGAGAGCTTCTTTGATTGAAATTGCATTTAAGATCTCACGTTCAGACTTTACACAGCGTTGCGCCGTGAACTTATACTGCAATTGCTTCTGATACAACGCAACGCCGACAACTTGTGCGGAGAGTTGTGCGAAGAGCCGTAACACGAAGTACCGACAAGCGGGATTTGCCAGCCTCCAGCTTGCATGGGTGGAGCAAGCCTGAGAAACCCTGTGAAGGCTTGTCATTCACATCGCAAGTCTGAACACTGCCCGCGCACTCCACGCGCGGCAACTGCAACCGGTCAGAAACAATGCAGCCTGCCAAGCACAACCCGCTTAGTTTCCGGGAACGAAAAAATCCATAGGCTGGCTAGGCCGCCCTGAATGCGCCGAGGTGCTTTTGATGGGTCTGCCTGCGCTTGCTTCCGACATGGCTTGGCCCGGAATTTGAAGCTTTGCAGGCAAGCTTAGGGTTTGCCCAAGGAGTGTGTCCGGGTTTTTGGTTCGGCGACCTCCGAGCCAATATTGTGCAGCATGATGCGGTGCGTCCCTTTGCCGCAGAAAAAGCTACAACCTTCCCTACAAAAACCTCTGGTGCGACAGAAGTTGGAACAGCATCAGCATCAGTGGGCCCAGAATTGGCTTGTCGGGAGCGACCGCCACAATGGAACCCGCCAAAAAGCATCTTCCAAAAAGCCTGCCCAGATCCAGCCAGGATACATGTCCAAAATGCTTCACCTCGCCCCGTAATGTTGGACCTTGTTCACTGTGGGGCCCCCCAACCCCCCCCCTCAAACAGTCAAAGCAGTGCTCGAGGATCCTGAATAAGGATCTGGCAGGGAGCTTGGGTGACTTAAGTATTGCTCTAGTATTGCCACTACTTGGTTTAGAATTGCCAGCACTTCCTTTTGGGCTGCCACGACTTGATTTAGATTTTTTTGCACTTCCTTTTAGGTTGCCGCTACTTAGTTTAGTATTGCCAGCACTTCCTTTTGGGTTGCCACTACTTGGTTTAGCATTGCCACTACTTAATTTAGTATGCCAGCACGTGCTTTTGGGTTGCCCCTAAGACTTGACAGACGCTAAACATGGTACCCAAACAGTGCCCGGGCCGATCAGGGCCCCTTGTGGGCAACCCCCTTTGCAGGACTGTTGTTGTGATGGATTTAAGTAAAGGATTTTGATGGATGGGGCTTAGGATCAAACCAGGAATTCGAGCTTTTAGATCTTGCAGAGCTTGCACTCAGGAGAAATCAGTTGCCCATATTGCGCATCTAGCTCAGATCTTTGGGGCCGGAATTTTCGGGGCCTGAACTTGCATAAATCATGGTACCGAAGCAGTGCGGGGGTCGTGTTTAAGCCGGGGAAACTTCACATAATTTAGACTACCGAGATTAAACCAGGTGCAGCATTAGTGTGTGTTTTTGGAATTAGTGTGTGTGTGTGGGTGGGTTCTTGCTTGGTTTTGGGAAGGTAACCCCTTGGCCACTAGCTTCGCATATGCCCTCGGCGCCCAGCTCTGCCTCTGAGACAATCGGCCCCGGAAAATCGGTTGGATTATTGCTGGTCGAGGGTCACAGCAAAACTTCCCATTGACTGTTAAATGCCAAAGCACAGGGCCTGGTTACTAGACCACGAAAGCATAACATCACAAGCGAGGTCGGCCCAACGCTGCAGGATGCGTTCTTTTTCCCTACACGAAGCATTCGTGAAGCAAGCGCGAGACAGCACCAGGCAAGGTGCTCTGCGCAAACTCGTCGGTGCAAGTTGGTCTGCGCAAGTTGCTCTACGCAAGTTGCACTGTGCAAGTTGCTCTGCGCAAGTTGCTCCGCGCAAGTTGCTCCGTGCAAGTTGGTCCCTGCAAGTGGCTCCCTGCAAGTTGCTCTGTGCAAATTGCTCCGTGCAAGTTGCTCCCTGCAAGTTGCTCTGCGCAAGCTGCTCTGTGCAAGTTGCTCTGTGCAAGTTGCTCTGCGTAAGTTGCTTTGCGCAAGTTGCTCTAGGCAAGGCGCTCTGTGCAAACTGGTCGGTGCAAGTTGGTCTGCGCAAGTTGCGCTGCGCAAGTTGCTTTTGCAAGTTGCATCTTGCGACGCCCGCCCGCGGACCAGGGAGGAATCGAACCCGCGACCCGCCGGTCCCGGGAGCAGGCGCGCGAACCACGAGACAACTCCCGAGGACCAGTTCGAACAACAAAAGTCGCAAAAAAAACTCGAGTTTTTGCACCTCGACCACGCCGATTCCCGCAGAGGGTTGCGCGAGCACCGCAGAAATCGCAAAACCAACTCGAGTTTTTGCACCTCGACCACGCCGATCCCCGCAGAGGGTCGCGCGGGAACTTTAGAAATCGCAAAAAACCGCGAGTCTTTGCACCTCGACCACGCCGATCCCCGCAGAGGGTCGCGCGGGATCTTTAGAAATCGCAAAAACCTCAAGGTTTTTGCACCTCGACCACGCCGATCCCCGCAGAGGGTCGCGCGGGAACTTTAGAAATCGCAAAAACCTCAAGTTTTTGCACCTCGACCACGCCGATCCCCGCAGAGCATCGCGCGGGAACTTTAAACCTCGCAAAAATCTCGAGTTTTTGCACCTCGACCACGCCGATCCCCGCAAAGGGTCGCGCGGGAACTTCAGAAATCGCAAAAACCTCGAGTTTTTTGCACCTCGACCACGCCGATCCCCGCAGAGGGTCGCGCGGGAACTTTAAAAACCTCGAGTTTTTGCACCTCGACCACGCCGATCCCCGCAGAGGGTCGCGCGACATGTTAAAAATCGCAAAAAATCTAGAGTTTTTGCACCTCGACCACGCCGATCCCCGCAGAGGATCGATTTTCGTGTAGTGTCGTCGGGACTACACCGCCGCCCTAACAAGATATCTTAACTCCTCGCAAGTCAATTGCACTTGACTCCTTGCACTTGCAACTTGCACTTGACTCCATGCGCTTGCAACTTGCACTTGACTCCATGCACTTGGCTCCTTGCACTTGGCTCCTTGCACTTGGCTCCTTGCACTTGGCTCCTTGCGCTTGCAACTTGCACTTAACTCCGTGCACTTGCAACTTGCACTTGGCTCCTTGCAACTTGCAATGACTCTCAGGACTCCTTGCAATGACTCCTTGCAATGACTCCTTGCAATGACTCCTTGCCATGACTCCTTGCAATGACTCCTTGCAATGACTCCTTGCAATGACTCCTTGCAATGACTCCTTGCCATGACTCCTTGCAATGACTCCTTGCAATGACTCCTTGCAATGACTCCTTGCAATGACTCCTTGCAATGACTCCTTGCAATGACTTTCATGAGAACAAATCAAGTGAACCCAGCGGAAGAACCCTTCGCCATGCTTTCGGGAAATAATAGTCGAACCGCGCTGGTCCAAAAGGGAAGCCAAAAGCTTCAGGCAGCGTCAGGCTTTGCTTGTGCAATTTGCCAATTCTCAACAAGGTTCTGCGCAGGATTTCTCTGAAAGAATTTCTACTATTCTGTCTGTAGAAAGTCCTGGGCAAGATCTGTGCGGAAGGATCTTTGCAGTGGGTGGGATCTCTTGGCAGGATCTCTTGGCAAGATCTGCCTGCAGGATCTTTGGGAGAATCCTCTACAAGTTCTCTCTTCAAGATCTGTAGAGAGCAGCGTCCTCCACAAGATCGCTCTGCATGAAATTTTCGAGGGTCCAGCGCCAGAGCAAGGTATCCGTGGGAGGTTTCTCTTAGGATCTCTACGCAAGATCTCCTCTACGAGCGTTCTGTTAAGAATGTGTGGGGAGCACCCTCTGCAAGATCATTTGGAAACAAGTCTTTGCGCTGGTCCTGCGCAAGACCTCTTCAGAGGACCCCTGTGAAGGACCAACGCAAGATACCGTTGGGAAGATGTTTGCGGGATCTCGGCGCGAGATCTCTGGATAAGATTTCTTGCCAAGATCCTGCGCAGGATCTCTGAATAAGTTAGCCCATCGACTAGGGCTCATAACACTGTCCCTTTTGGTTGAATAAAACGCAACCTTGCGTCTGCCAAGTTGCCGGTGGGTTTCCTCTTCTCCCCAAGCAGTTAGTGTGTCTACACTCAGTGCTTCTTGCGGTAAGAGTAAAAGGCCGGGTCGATAAGGGTGCTCGCTGCGGGCGCCGCGATTCGTCCGGCGGGCGTCGGCGGTGTCTTTCGAGGGTGCGCTCTCGCTGTGTTGCCGTGCGAATTCCGGAAATCGTGGATTGGCGCGCCCTCTGCATGCTGTGGCACAGTGCGAATTCTTGACATCGAAACCAACCCTCTGCGGACATTGGGTGTGTTGAGTCACTGTCTATGGCACGGTGCAATCTCCCAGCGTAGAATAAACTAAACATCGGCCGCTGTTTTGGGTGAAGACACAAGACTTTGAAAAGCATTAACAGCCCGATTCTTGAAACATCCCGCCCCAAGAGCGCCATCCCCAAACATGGAACAACTAACACTTGTGGCGCACATGCGGGTTTGACAAAACTTGTGGGACGGTTGCGTCCATGGCCCGAGAAGAAACAACGACAAACAATGCTTGGAATGACCCAGGCGGCCTTGATCCACCTGACAACACAGAAGGAGTACAACACCCAAGTCTTCAACTCGAACCCTGATGACTCTCTGTAAGCAGGCGCTTTGTTTTTACCTCCGCTGCCTGAGAGCGTCTGGCTTAAAGGAAAGTTAGTGCAGTTCCCAGCTTTGCCTGTAGTCTAGGTAGGCAGCGCCAAAAGCCGGACAAAAGTCAAGCCACTGAGGGCTGCCCCGCCATCAAACTGCGCCCGAGGCAAGCGACTGCACGAATATTTCGCATGGCTGATGTTGGGCCTGGGGCTGCTGCTGGCTGCTTCCAGCTGCAGGCTCGTGGGCCGACTATCAATGTGTAGATGGGGTGTATCCTTTGAGGAGCCTTGTTTTGCCTCCAAACAACAGGAACAAGTGCGGCCTGCTTCCCACAAACACCCCACGCTAGGGGGCATCGGCAAGTTCAGGCTTGAGAAGTTCTTTGCTTACCGGGAAATTGGTCGATGGGGAGGCCTGACGCTCATTTTGACCCTGAGCATGAAGTCAACCACATGCCGCGGAAATAACCGGTGTGTGTCTTTCAACCTGGCAACCAGGCAAAGCCCCGGCTGTGTGGATCAGCACAAGCTCAATGCAGCTGACTTCATCACTCCGCGTGGTCGCGCGGGCCAAGGCCGTGGAAGCAATCCTGGCGAGAGCACCCATCGGAAAGCAATCCTGCCTGCTCCATCTGCCGTCGCAACGCATTGGCTGTGCCGCAAAAGATACGGCTGACACACAGTATGTCGCCGTTTGTGCGTGAGCAGCACTTGGCAGGCGACTGCAACTAGATTGGGAAGGCAGCGCCGAACGCCGGACAAAGGTCAAGCCACTGAGCAAACTATCAATGGCCACTCTGGCCCGCCAACTATCAAGGCCCGGTCGAGATGCAAGTTGCTTGGTCCAGCAAAGCGCTGCAAGCATGCGAACTGTCGGTATGCTGACATTCAACCAAGCAACCACGTAAAGCACAGTTCGCGTGGATCAGCAGAAGCTCAACACAGCTGACTTCATCACTCCGCGTGGTCGAACTGCTGCAGTCACAAGCAATCCTTGAAACAACGCCCATCGGAAAGCAATCCTGCATGCTCCATCTGCCGTCGAGGCGCGTTGGCTGAGCCGCTTAAGATGCGGCTGATCACACGGTATGTCGCAGTGTGTGCGTGCGCGGCACTTCGCCAACGACATTGCTGAATGCACCGTGCGACTCTGCAGCACTTGGCAAGCGACATTGCTGGAGGCACCTTGCGCCTGTGCAGTACTTGGCAAGCAACACTGCTGAATGCACCATGCGCCTGTGCAGCACTTTACAAGCAACGCTGTGCGCCTGTGCAGCACTTGGCAAGCGGCATTGCTGCATGCACCGTACGCCGGTGCAGCGCTTGGCAGGCGACATTTCTGAATGCACACTGCGCCTGCGCAGCACTTAAGCGACATTGCTGAATGCACCGTGCGCCTGTGCAGCACTTGGCAAGCGGTATTGCTGAATGCACCATGCACCTTTGCAGCACAGGCAGGCGCCATTGCTGAATGCACTGCGCGCCTGTGCAGCACTTGGCAAGCGACGTTGCTGCGAGCACCATGCGCCTGTGCAGCACTTGGCCACCGGCAGCCGGCGCAGCACTTTGCAAACAACACTGCTGAATGAATCGTGTGCCTGTGCAACACTTTGCGAGCGACATTGCTGCATGCTCCATGCGCCTGTGCAGCACTTGGCGGGCGACATGGCTGAATGCACATCCCGGGTATCGGGGTAGAGACTCTTGAAAGGACTTGGCTATGGGGCCTCAGGAGTGGAAGCAAACAAATGCCTGCACAGGACAGAAGAAATAACCCCCCTCCCGGGGCCTGCGCGCAACCAATTGCCCGGAAGCCCCAGCCTTGCCGGAGGCATGATGCGACCCAAGGCGCTCACATTGAGGCCGCGCTATGCAAAGGCAAAACCACTGGGGTACCCAAACAAGCCATGATACGCCTGCGAACTTCTGTGAATCGCCGGCGCAGCCACCAGACTTCGGCAACCCCCACACACCATGAGTGAAAATTCTGTGATCCCCCGCACTCTTGTCGGTCGCCAACTCCTGCCCCCTTTGGCAAGCTTCTGTGGACCGCAGGCCCCACGCGCTTGACGTACTCTGTGTGCCCTTTGGGCTTAAACATGGAGGTGGAAAGAGAGCTTGTCAGGGGCCTTCCCAGTTTCTGACACAAGTGCTCGCAACAAGTGTTTGTACGAGCTACAGTTCTTTCTTCGCAGTACTTTGGACGGCCCGGATTTTCAGGTCCGTTCGTTTGAGCTCAACAGATGTAATCGAAGCTAGCGGTTGCCGTGTTTTTGGCCTCCGCAGCATTGGCGATTGTCCCGAGCGCCTCGTACTCGGACAAGCCTTCTTACTGCTTCTTGAACCTGGTCGAGTCGGCGCGATCAAGATCGTCATGGTTTGGTCCACAAACAGCGTGGCTCTTGGGCCTTGCAAGCGCCTGCCAGCTCTGAAAGCAAACGCTTACGCGGCCTTCCGCTAACCTCCCGCTAACCTTTCCCCCGCAAATCGCTTTGCTTTGCCCGATTCTGAACTCTGCGTTGAAGTGCTTCAACAAGCTGAATGACGCGCCGCAAGTTGCGGCGGTCTGGCATACTGAGTTCTGTAGAGATTGCGGAGGCCAAGCCAGGCACGTGAGATGCTAGGCCGAAGAAACTCGAAATCTTACAGCCCCGAAATCAGCACGCTCCTTCGCGAAACAAGCGTATGTTGGCGGATGTGTCGCAACAACACAACTCTCAACTGCCCAGGCCGCGCGTCATATACCTCTAGTAGAGGCCAGCATTGATATGCAGTGATGCTTCAAGGACTGCAAACAAATCAGGTCTTTGCGGCACGTCGGCGCATGTGTTGTTGAAACGGTTGCAAAAGCCTCGCAAGGCCTGCTGAGGCACCCAGACTCACGTCAAGCAGCCTGTCCGGCTGAAACCTGCACGTTACATGATGCAGAGGCCAGGCGCCGCCCTCGCTAAAAGGCAGTCTCTTTGGCACTGACTTTCGGCGAAAATGCGCAATCATGCTGCGAAACTCAAAGCTGGCCCGGTCTGTGGGGAGCAGTGGCTTGCAGTCGAGGCCAACCCTGCGTTTGGCTTGTTGAGCGTGTGATGAAAGAACGGCGCCCTGAGCCAATGTAGATTGCACATTTGCTTGAGATTTGGTGGCCAGCAAGCTAAACCAAGCAAGCCAAAGTTGTGTCTCGATGTGTCAAGGCAAAAGTTGTGGGTGTCAGCCATGGCCTGCCTTGGCCATGCTTGCGTCAATGTCGGACGCAATTCATGCATGGTATGTCGCAAGATGGCACGCAAACGCTGCATCGACCTGCTGCGAGCCGGAGGCCAGTCAGTAATGCGAAAGCTTTCACTGTGCGACGAGGCCCGGCCACGGAGCCAACCAGCCGCTGCACTTGGGTGCCGTGCAGGGGTGGCAGGCTGCATGCGCAGGCCAGACCCTTCCAGCCGCTGCACTTGGGTGCCGTGCAGGGGTGGCAGGCTGCATGCGCAGGCCAGACCCTTGCAACGCTTCTGAGCCAGCGTCTCGGGCCTGGATGCCGCAGGCGGTGACGCTGCCCATGCGAGAGGAGCTCACTTTCTCGGATGTGGGGTTTCGGACTGTCACTGTCCTCCTCTGCTGCTTGCGCCTCGCGCTGCCAGCTGCAGCGAGCGCCGGCCACAATGCAAAAAGGGTGCGGAACTAGTGATTGGTAGTAGCAACCCCTCTGTGCCTCACAGCCAACTTCCTGAGCTGGGTAGGGTCTACCTGGTCTAAATGCTGAGCAGTATGAGGTTGATCACCAAGCAGCTGCTGCGCTTCCCACGTGTTGAACCTTCCCAAGAAAAAATCGTCCGCTAGAGCTTTCTTCCGTGGAAAGCTTTCTCCCGCCAAGTTGGGGGCCATATCTGAGTGCATAGCTGGGACAAACACGCAATCGGTGTGCACAAACACGCGCACGCCCTACGACCGAACTGTCCGAACCGGGATTCTTCAAAGCTCCAAGATTGCTCTCAATATTGCGAAACGCGGGCCCACATGTTCGGGGCACGTGGTAGTGCAGCCCCCGCTTTGTCAGGAACTGGTTGCGCATACATCAACCCTCCGCACATATGCTCATCAACTGTGTAATTTTAGAGTTCCATCTTGCACGGCCTGTCATGAGTGCCTTGCTAAAACGGTGTCTTTGTTTGCCCTACTTTGCGGAGTGAGCGGGAAACAATGCTGCAGAAGCAAGTCTTTTCCATGAAGTATCAAGCTGAGATGTTACAGAGAGGATCTGAGAGACTTTCCTTTGTGGTTACACTTGGGATCTCACGTTCAGATTTTTCTGTTGCGCCGTGAATCTATTTTGAAATTACAAATGATCCGATGTCACGCCGAGATGTTATACAGAGCGTTGCGCAAAGATTTCACCTTGTAATTACAAGCGCAGCGTGACGCGAAGTGCCACAATGAGTTGGTGCTGCGCTCCGGGGGCGGAATCTTTGCTCGGAACTCAACAAGCGGGATTTGCCAGCTGACTGTTGGGAGTCAATGCGGCCTTCACACAAGCTCCAGCTTGCATGGTTGGAGCAAGCCTGAGAAACCCTGTGAAAGCTTATCATTCACAGCGCAAGTCTGAACACTGCCCGCGCATGCCTCCACGCGCGGCAACTGCAGCCGGTCACAAACAATGCAGCCTGCCAAGCAAAACCCGCTCAATTTCCAGGAGCGAAAAAGTCCAGAGGCTGGCTACGCCCCTCTGAGTCTGCCATTGTGCTCTGGATGGGTCTGCGTGCGCTCGCTTCCAACATGGCTGGGCCCTCCATTGGAGCGACGCGGCAAGCTTATGCAAGTTTCCAAATTCGGGTTTGGCCAAAGAGTGTCCGGCTTTCCCGCTTGGCGACCTCTGAGCCAATATGCTGCAGCATGGTGTGATGCGTCCTGTTGGGCCTCAAACGGAAATATCTGTAGTCCTCCACCACAGTACTCTCAACAGATCTTGCGCAGGACCTGCGCTGCTCCCTACAGATCCGGAAGAGAGAACTTGTAGAGGATTCTCTTGGAGACCTCCGGGTAGATCTTGCAAAGAGATCCTGCCAAGAGACTGGACAATGTTTTGCGGAAGGCTCTTTGCAGGATCCTTCCGCAAAACATTGTCCAGGACTTTCTACAGAAACAAGAATCGAAATTATTTCAGAGAAATCCTGCGCGGAACCTCGTCTCAGAGAAGATCTTCTACAGGAGCTTTCAGCAGGCTTCTGTTTGAAAAGCGTGCGCGTGCCCAGACCTTCTATAAAGTGAGCATGTCAGGAAATTCGGTATAGAAGCAGGTGGGCATGGCGCCAGAGCCAGATGTACGTGGGAGGGTCGTCTTGGGATTTCCACAAGTGTTCTGTGAAATATCTGTGGGAAGCATCCTCTACAAGATCACTTGGAAAGAAGTCTTTGCAGGGGATCGTGGGGAAGATGTTTACGGGATCTCTGCACGAGATCTCTGCACGAGATCTCTTGACAAGAGCCTGCGCAGGATTTCTGAATAGGATCGTGTCTGCGGTCAGTTAGCCCAAAGACTAGGTTGCGTAAAGCGCAACCTTGCGGCTGCTAATTTTGCTGACGGGCTTCTTATGTTCCCCAAGCAGCCACGGTGTCTAAAGGGGTTCTTACGGTAAAAGTACAAGGCCGGGGGTCGATAAGGGTCGTCGCATGTGCTCGCTGTGGGCGCCGCCAGCCTCGCACGCAAAACTTCTCTGTGAGATGTTCATGTACATTCCGGCGGCGCAAGCTCGCGCAAAGTGAGTGGGCGCGTCGGCGGAGTCTTTCGAGGGTGCGCTCTCGCTGTGGTGCCGTGCGACTTCCGGAAACCGTGGATTGGCGACACCCTCTGCATACTGTGGCGCAGTGCAATTTTCAACATCCAACCCTCTGCAGACATTGGGCGTGTTGAATCGAAGTCGCTGTGGAACGGCGCAATCTCCCAGCTTAGAGCGAACCATCTGCCGCAGATTGAAAACACACCACTTTGAAAAGCATCGAACATCCGTTTCTTGAAACATCTCACCTCAAGAGCGTCATCCCCGAACATGGAGCCGTTTCTTGAAACATCTCGCCCCAAGAGCGCCATCCCCAAGCATGAAAAAAACAAATTACTTCGCTTCGAGCAATCCACACCTTCCACACTCACGAGCTTACGACCGTGAACACGGTTGTGTGAATTCAAGCATGGTTTTCGAGTGGCTTGGGGCCTATGACTGCTCAACAAGCTTTGCATTGAGAGCCTTATCCACCTGTCACTCCACTTGTCTGCGTGTCTGCGAGCCGATCTCGAGAGGTCAAACATCGGTTCCGTTAACAAAAGCCAAGCCCCTTCCAAAAAGAAACCCGACGGGGGATTAAACGAAGTTGCTTATTCACAGCCCAAAGCAACACAAAAACATCACCCTTTCCGAGCCTCAAGGTACACTCGAAACACGAAGGCACCAACATGAAATGTAAACCCAACTGTGCGCCGGGCGGGGCACTAAGCAAAACCAGACTGGCGAGCTGCTCTGGCGGGATACTGGCGGGATCCACTGGCGAATGCTAGCGAGCCGCTCCGGCTCGATACTGGCCGGATACTCAGTGGGATACTTGGCGCGACCCACTGGCGAGCGACTCTGGGATACTCAGCGGGCGGGTCCACTGGCAGG